AACTCGCAATGTAAACCATGTGCATTTCAAGGAGAATTAAATCTGTGTCTGATTTATTTATACATTACTCATTGAAATATTATTTTGGTAGAAAATACTTGATGTCCAGAAACCTTATGATCCATTTTATCATCTTTTTTTATTTGATCCAGCAAGTTGATTTTCATGGGCAGTAAATAAAGTTTATATCTTGAAAGATTGAAACCATGAAGTCTATCAGAATGCTTATTACAATTTATACCACCAATATTTCCAAATGGCCTTATAATAAAAGCACTTTCAATAGAGCAGTTAAAAATAAAGGTAAAAACTGAGATAAAAAAGATATAGAGGAAGTAAAAAATTATTATGTGTGGGGAAATTTCAAAAATAAATTTGTTCTGAGCTTCCTGACTGCCAAGGCAAAAGGCAAACCAAATGGTTTTGCTTAGAAGAAAAGTCTGCACTGCATAACCATCATTTTGATAGTGTACGCATCACATTTTAAAAGTAAAAGCTAAACAAAGAAACAAGAAACCAGGAATACCTGGCTCGGTGCTCCTGAAATAAATGAAAACTCCAGCCTTTCATGCAAAGTTTTCTAAAGGAATGAACTTTGTCTCTTGAAATCATGTAAGAAATTTGCTTTTATTTTCTCCACTATAAACAAGTACATGAAACTAGGTAACTTTGTTAATTTTGTGGAAATTTTCATTAAATATGTATTTAATTTTTACTTGGATAGGTATTTTTAGAACCTAAACTTCCTTGCAATCTTTCTCTTTTTTTTGGCAAGTACAGTATTAGCACTTTTTAAAAAAAATTTTGTTGCCATTGAGTTTTCCTTTGACTCTGGTTCTATTCCCATTTTTTAAAAAATGAAAATAATAGCAAAGTTTATTAAGGAAGGAGTATAGCTTCAGTGGACTGAAAGTCTCTAGTGAGAATGAGAAATGACCTGCTGTTATGTTTTTAAAATAAAAAGCACTTGTATTTTGTTTTTCATTGCTAAATGCAAAAGTAATATGTTCCCTTGCAGAAAAGTCAAGAATGCCACATAAAGTAGACATGCAAGCAAACAGTAATTTCAGAGTTTTGCTTGTCTAGAGAAAACCGTTAATAATACCTTGGTATTTTCTCAACCTTTGTGAGCATGAAGTTTTATTGTATTTATTTGCTAAAACTAATGCTACTTGAGTTTGGATTATTGAGACAAAAGTCAACTACTGAGATTCACTAACTTTATTGGACTCAATAGATTTATTTGCTCTGTGATGTTCTGGGGTTGCTACCTAAGAGATTTGATGGACAATCTCTGAACTCATGCATTGGTAATGGGAAATCAACCAATGATTCAGACTATATATCCATAGAAAAGAAACAGTTCTGGAGAATTAAAAAATGAAATATTTGGATTAACCTATCTTCATTTTTTTCTCAACTTTCTCTGGTCACCACTGTTATTTCTTTCCCTTTTTGCATTTCTTATTCCATTTCTTCTAGTTTATGTTACCTAACTATCTAAGTCATTTGATTATTTGATTAATTGCTTTTTTCCATCAGTTACAACATTCTTATTTAACTTAGGTATAGTCACATAACTCTGGCTAAAACAGTGTTCCAAACAACATTGCCAATTGAAAAGTATTTGAAGCAATTTTCCATCTGATTCTAGAAGTTAGATACAAAATTCAGAGTTATCTTACTGGCAATTGTAGGAATTTTATTCATCAATTACATTTGTAAGTTCAATAATTCATTGTACTTTTTTTATTGAGTACCTACTGGATTTTAGTACACTGCCAAACATTCAAGACACAAACACAAAATGACATGTTTCTTACTGTGAAGACTAAAGGAATAGAGAAAGTTAGGAACAGTTCCATTCATCCATTTATTCATGTTTTCAAAAAATATTTAGCCAGGCACATTGGTATGTGCCTGTAGTCTCAGCCACTTGGGAGGAGGAGGCAAGGGGATCATTTGATCCAAGAAGATCAAGACCAGCCTGAACAACATAGTGAGACCTTATCTCAAAAAATTTATTTAGTGTCAACCATGTATCAGGTACTGTTCTAGGTTCTGGAGGCAGAGACATGTGGCAGGACAAACAAATAATTATATATATTATAAATTTAACAATAGGCACATGTGTTTGATGCAGGCACATATTTGTGGATGTGGGTGGATTAGGTGAGGAACTTCAATAGGTGAGGTGGATATCAACAAAACCTTAACTCATTCTCTGAACAGGAACTTCCATAGTGTTTTCAAGGAATTGTCATTACTATTATTATAGCAGTGGCTATGTCATTTATTTAGTCCTACAACACTTCAGGCATTTTACCTATAGTCTCCTTTAATCCCCATAGCAGGGCTCTGTAAGTAGTTTATCTACCATATGATCAAGGTTGCCATCTAGCATGTGTCAGAACAGATAAAGCCCAAGTCTGTGCTCCTACCACCACACCATTCAGCATGATTAAGAAGAGTAATTAAAAAGACATAATGGAATAAAACAGTTTCTAAAAGAATTTATTTATCTCGACCTTTGGACTTCATCCTCTAAGCAATGGGGAGGTATCGCAGATTTAAATCTGAAAAATAACATGAATAGTTTTGATACTTGGGAAGGTAAAAATCAGAAAGATTGGATGCAAGCATAAAAACTGGGAGATGAGATCATAGATTTTTTTCCATAGTCTGAGGGCAATCAGATGGAGGTCTAAGTGAGAGTGAAAATGGAGAGAAAAAGCAACAGGATAGAATTACCAGGTTTGGTGATTGAAGTGATGTGGAGAGAGGGAGAGGTCCATATTGAATACAATTCCTAAGTTTATGACCTTTAACAACTAGATGAATATAGGATAAAGCATGCAAGAGAAGGAGGAAGAGCACGTTTTTGGTGATGATAATTATCTTGATTTTGGATGTGTGGAAACTGAGATGTGCATGGATGTCCAGTAGACACCTTCTGTGATGTGAATATGAAGTATATCTCCAAAAGGCTCACATGTTGAAGGCTTGGTCCCCACATGATGTCACTATTCAGAGGTGATTGGATCATGAGGACACTCAATCAATGGATCAATCTATTGATGAACTCATAGCTGAATGGGCTATTGGGAAGCAGGTCACTGGTGCATGCCTTTGAGGGTATATATTGTCCCTGGACCTTTTCTCTCTTCTTCCCTCTGCTTCATAGCCATCATGAGGTGAGCTGTTCTGCTCCAGTCTACTAACTTTAGGCCTCAAAACAATGGAACTGTCCTGTCATGAATAGAAACTTCTGAAACCATGAAACAAAATAAACCTACCCTCCTTTAAGTTGTGTTTACCAGGTATTTTGTCATAGTGATGAAAAGTGACTAACACAACATGTATGTCTAGTAGATGGTGAGAGTGCTCAGGAGAGATGTCTGTCTGGGTAAAGACAGATTTGGGTATGGTCATTATTAAACTGAATTTGCAATGTAAGAGAATGAGACAATGTAGATTGAGAAGAAAGAGGACTGGGGATAAAATATGTGAGGCATCGGAGGACAAAGAATAGATTCAGAAAGCAAAGAAGGAGCAATCAGAGGAAAATAGTCAGAAAACTGTTTCCCCAGAGTCCAAAGAAAAAGAAAATTTCAAGAGAGCAGACTGATGAATGTTTCAGAGAGTTGAGAGCTGGGTTTATCTTTGAATATGTTCATTAATTTTTTTCTAAGAGAGAAGTTTCACAGTCTAGAAAATAAAAAAAAATTGAAAAAGAAATTCCCTTTGTTGAGTAATTGGAACATAAGAAATATAGTTGTTTAGAATATTCTCTTGAGAGGTGTAAGAATAAAGAGACATAGTGGAAACTGGAGAGGTAATGAGCAAGATTCAGTATGTCTTCAAGGATCTTATCCAATTCAATCATAATTATATCCTATATTATATTTTAAGATTCAGAATCTAATAAGGGTTATAAATAATAAGAAGCCCAAGCAGTTAAAATCTAGGGCTACACATGCTGTATAGGTTAGAACAGAATGCCCTGGGAGAACAGAGGAGAGGTATGTAATTCAGTTTAGGCTAGTGGACTTCAGAGTCTAGCTAGAGATGAAGGCTGAGCAGGTGTTGGTAAGATGAAGAAGTCAAGGATCAGAGAAGCTCTTTTGAAAAGAAGGAGAAGCATGTCCAAATTTCCAGAAGTGAGCAAGTGCAGCTGTCAGGAATTCAGTCTAGTTAACATTGGAGCTGTGAGGGTGGAGGGGAGGAATTTCATAAGCCAGTTTGGAATGTTCTGGATCTTTTCATGGAGGCAATAGAACCTTTGAAATGTTTAAAGCAAGAGAGAGTGACACCATCAGATTTGCATTTTAAGAAGATGCTTCCAGTTGAATGTTAGTTGGGATTGGGAGTGACAAAGAGAATAACCTTCAGGCTGCAGCAATCATCCAGGGAATTGCTGGTGACTGTGTGGACAAAGATCATGAAAGTGGAAATAGGAAGAGTTGGACTCATTCAAAAAACGTCAGGGAGATGGATTGTTGATTGAGAGAATGTGTGTGCTAGGTATGAGGTAGAGGATAAAATCTGGTATGACACTATGAATTCGTTGAGAGAAATTTTGAGTTTTATTTTGGATATTTGATTTAGTGATGTCAGTGACACATGCCCATCTGGAAGCACATGGGAGAAGCACTGCAGATGATAAAGTTTTGGGAGCCAGGCATATACAAATCATAAGACATGAGAGAGGTTGAGGTCACCCAGGAAGAGTATACAGAGTAAGAAAGAGAGTGGAGGACAAAACCCTGAGCATCAATAAAATATACGACATGAGCTGAGAAAGAACTCAACCATGAAACTAAGAAGCAACAGCAAGAGTTAGGGGGAAAAGCAAAAGTGTAGCACTACACATGTCTGGAAGCTAAGGACAGTGTTTTACAGAGAGTGGGTAAATAATTCTACCTATTGTAGAGGGACAAAATGAGAGAAAAACTGAGCAGCACTTGTTAATTCTGAATAGCTTTTGGGCAGGACATTGTCTATCCCTATCTCTGTTATCTCTTGCCTATTTTGAATGAGTAGATTTCTTTATAGTTTGGATGTAATCTTTGCATGGATAGCATGGAAATAAGGTTAATTCAATACCATGACACATTCCTATAAACCCAGAGGATAGTACTAAAGGAATCCAGAAGAAGAGTATTTGAGTGCTTGCCACATGACTAATAATTAACACTCTTAATTTATTTTAATCCTCAAAACAACCCTTTTAAACACCATTTTATAAAAGATTAAAGTGAACAGTTTAAATAAATACATCATGATTGCACAGCTCAGAGGTAGCAACAGCAGGATTCGAATCTAAGCCTAACTTCAAAGCACTTGCTCTTTAGAGAATGCTTTGATTCCTCTGACAAAAGTCTAACAGATTAAGGTAGAAAAGTATCCAGAAATAAGTATAAATTTGCCATTTGGACATTTTTGCTAAATTATAGTTCAATATGAACTTCACCAGCTGTCAACAAATGATTACCATGAAGTACACTTTCATATATACTATGGATTGAGACAATGTATTTTTTAAAAAGCAAAAAATTCCAAATATATTTTTACTTATAACATTAAATTTATAATTGCAATTGCAATGCCAATTACCTACTTTTATGTTGATTGTGTTATACTTATTCTCATTCTGCACCAAAAATAATATGAGTTGATTTTCTCTTTTACAGATTGGAGGAAGATAAGAAGAAATGACAATCCTTTTTTTTGTCTTTTTGAGTATAGAAAGAAAAACACAGCCTATATACTACTAAAATTCCTCTCTGCCACCTGTGTGATTGCTGATTAGGAATTTTTTATTATTTTTTTACATACTCAGCTGAATTAGGAGTATTTCTGGGCAACTCTAAGATCAGTACTTAAAAAATCTGAACTTTATCCCTTTTCAGAAAGTCTATATGGCTGTGCAGCTGGGGCAAAAGTATAAATAGAAGTCCACTTGTTATAAATTTAAATATATAGTAATTGAGCAAAATAATAAACTACTAAATTATATATATATATTATACCCTGATGCCTTTCCTTGACAGATGTAGCTTCATAATGACGTATAAGGTGAGGATACAATTTTTGGACTCTTTGGTGATCTGCTCTAGAATGTGGGGGCCTGCCCTCCTTCAATTCAAACCTCTAGCTCTATCCTGCAGCGCAGGGGTCTTGTGGGTGAACAACACTCATAATTTAAGCAAAACAAAACCAGAAGGTATTGGCCACCTGTTGGCCTTCAGGTTGCACACACTGGTGGGGATCTTCCCTTAGAAGAATGAACCTAGGAAGAATTGCACCCACATCCTAGAAGAGACCTTGGAGCAATTTGGTTAGGGAAGTTGGGCTCCTGGATCTTCAGAGTGGCCTAGGAGTTGGGACGTGAACTGCGGAGGCATGCTCTATGGTAGGGTAAACTCCTTGGCTCTGGGGGTGTGTGAGTTGAGTAGGGCTGGAGTGGGACCTGCTAAGGTGTGAAGTCCAGAGCATTTTCCCGGTCTAGGAGGGGTACTGATTCTCAGTTATGCATGACTGTGTTGGACACAGAGTGGTTCTGTCCAGTCCCCTTGCTGGTAGGTGAAGTCCAAGGAAAGAAATAGCTAGTACTTCTTCCTGCCACATACTAATAATCATTAAGAAAATACATCTTGCTATGAAGTTTTTGGAAAGATTCCCAGCAGATTATTGGAAAGCATCACCCTTTCTGTGTACTGATTTTTTTCTCAGCCTGGTTTCACTTACTCAACTGTAAAATTGAGATCATTGCCTGAGTTATTTCTTCATTTTGCTCTTCCTTTTCAGTTATCTTGACAATTAAAAGGAATTTAGTTCTTTAGTCTGGACTCCAGAAATTTAATGTTTAATTTCTGCTTTTCTTTCAGGATATATACTTGGTTTGCTGAATAGTTCTATAGATTCATGATCTTCTCTAGATCAGGATTTAAAAGAAGATATTCTTTCTTCATTTTGTTAAGGCCTCAGTTATAATTTCCACTATGGAAAGAGACAGACAGAATTTAGGAAAGATACATTACAGGTCCATTTCCTTATCATGTTTCTTGGGAAATATTACTAAGAAGTCTAAAAAATTAAATTTTATTTCTCAAGTTAATAATTATTTCATTCATAAGGGAGAAAAAATTTAAGTTCCTGTATATTATTTAAATTTCAAATATAATTTTGAGGCAAAACTCATGTATAATATTACACTTTGTCAGAAAAGTAACTTGAAGACAGTTAAAATAACAAACTTGAAAATATTTGCTTATGCAGTGTAGGCTTTACAAAAGTTATTTTTAAAGACTGAGGAATTAGGCACCTGTCATTTTTGCCAGCTGGTGTGGATGTTAAAAATTCTTGTCACTCTTCTGTCTGCTACTCTATTTTGCACCTGCTGCTGCTTGAGTTATGGGCATTTCACACATGGTAATTTAATAAGGTTAGGTCCCATGACAGTATACTATATGTTATCCTATTAGGGGTTAAAAAGGTCTTGAGAAAGAAGTATTATAGATAAATCTTGAGACTAACAATTTAGTGTCTTGTAGACATCATATTTTTCTAATTGAAAATTTTGAAAGAAGTGTAGAAGACGGGACATTTGCCACATATTCTAAAATAAAAATGAGTCTTTTATGACTAGGCTGTACCAATCTTTCTACATTATGAATGTCATGTTTTAAAAATATGTAATTGATGTAACAACAAAAGATAAATATATATATTAAAACTGCATTGCTCAACGTGGTAATCATGGACCACATGTAATGACTAAGATTCAAATTTTAAATAAATTACAATGAAATACAATTATAAATACAATTCTTCAGTCATATTAAGCACATTTTAAGTTCTCAAAGCCACATGTGTCTAGGGGTTCCATAAGGACAACGCAGATGTAGATTTCCATTTTCATAGAAGGTTGTATTGAGTAGCGTTGTGTGATATTTCCAGTTCCTGGTCTTAGGTGAACTTGGCTGTAAAGATCATGAAACCACATTTTATTTCACTTAAAAATGTAATTGCAATGTCCCAATATTATCTATGCCACAAAAGAATAGGCTAAATTTGAAGTATTAGGTAATGGAATCCAAGTGGCTTTTGTTACATAGCTGGAGCTTGTTGACCTGAAGCTATCAACATAAAAAAAAGTTTCAACCTGCAAAATTGTATAGTTAGGCAGGCACTTTTCAGAGATTTTATAATAGTATATATTACCATTATCTTTTTTAGTGAGGTAGGGAGAACTACCACTAGTCCCTTCTAAATATTCAACTATTAGCTTTCAGATTCTGTTCCAATGAAAAAGTGATGGTATTCTGAGATGATTAAAGTAAGCTTGTTCTAGAAACCTTTCTAATTAGTCTTACCACTTTTTTAACATATAGAAAGAGACTGAACTGAGATTTAGGGACATGGACATGCAAAGCAGGGATCATAGTGGGAGAAAAAATTGATCAAAAAGATATTGAGGTTTTGATCAATAATGCCATCCCCAAAGAGTTTTTTTTTTTAAGTGATAGCAAAAAGGTCACTTTGAATTTTATCGAGGGCTTTCTGGAGTTTTCTAATAGGCCAGAGTGAAATACATCAGTTCTTAAATGATAATTTACACAAATCTGAAGAATCTTGCTTTTACTTTAAAAAGTTTATGTTAAAATATCTTTGTTTCTAATTGATCAAAATTTCTCCAGCTCACTTTTACAATAATATACAACTATTGTTCCATTTTTAGTGCTATCTTCATTGTAATGATTCTTTTATAAATTTATAATTCAAAAATTATAAAAATTGATGTCTCAAAAACTTGTTTTCATGTAGCAAGAAAATAAAAACACAATGTGACTTTAATATTACAGACTGACCAAGATTCTTTATTGACATAGTGTTTTAAGGATGCTTATCAACCCATGGTAGATAATAAAGGTGGTGCTTATATTTGAGATCGTCAATATTTTATTCTTCTTGTTTAGAGCAGCAGACACTTGGTTTGTGTGGTATGAATACAATTCGGAAAAAAACATAAGGTATATAAAAATTCAAGGAGTTCTTCAGTGTAGAACAGTCCAGGTTGTTTTGTTTTTCTGGATGATGGCAATCAGATCTGAGCAGGTAGTCATGGGTATTATTGAAACAAGATTTCAGCCAGTCTTCCTAAATAATGATTGTTCTGTGAAGGAAAAAGGAAAACAAGTTAGATGCTGATTGCATCTTTTTCAGAAAGAAAACTCATGGGGACGCAATGTCAAGTGCAAAGGAAGAAAGGGCACAAAATGAACCAGTACTTAAAGGGTAAGGCCTTTCCTTCTTCAAAGAACCTGGCTGCATAGTGCTTGAATTTGAACTGTTATAACATAGTTATCTTAGAGCATTAATTGTTAGAAGCTAATTTAGTTATTCAAAGAACTTAGGCTATACTTTTATAAGTGCTATAGTCCGTCTAAATGAATTAACTAGTCTCTGATTAGTTGAGTCTTCACACTTAACTGTAGTATAGTTAAAAAGATAGGGTTTATGGATTTTTAGATAACCTATTTCAAGGAGTTGATGCTTTTTTGGCTAATATAAATAACTCTCAATTGGGAACCAATACTGGTTATATCTATAGCACATAAAGTGAAGCTGCTTTTTTTAATGCAATATTGAGAAAGCTTCATATATTAAAGAAGGAATACTTAATGTACCTTGAGAGCTCCTTTTAGATAGACATGATGTGCTTGACAAAGGCTGTCATGGTAAAACAGACAGTTTAGGGTTAGAAAACAGTCAAATTTAATTAAAGAGAAGTTTAGCTATCTATCCACACATGCAAAGTATGATATTGAAAGATTCTTCTATGTAATGTATTTATAGGAATAACCAAATGTGGAAAATTATTTACAGGTAAAAAAATGAAGTTTAATCAAGACTGCCAGTGATCTGCGTGCCTGAGTACTTTCATTGTTTCCTTTCTCTCCTCTTCCCTTCCCTGCCTCTCTTTCCTCCTCTTTTCCCCACTATGCTTTTCTTTTTTCCGAACTTTTTTCTAAGTTGTAGGGCCTCATAAGTTTATATTTCCATCAAAGCTCTTTAAGGATAATTTTTTCAATTTTATTGTAAAATTTTAAATTTGCAAGTTACATTATGCAACTTTATTTTGCATCTTTATTTTGTGTAGTACACTGTTTTCACACCCTTTGGGCGAAGCTGCTATAAATTGAGATTCCCTCCCTCCTTTCTTTTCCTCTTGTCTCCCTTCCTTCCTTCTCTTTCCTTCTTAACAGGGTCTTACTCTGTGCCCCAGCCTCCAAAACGCTGGGATTAAGGTGTGTGCCATCATACCTAGCTACATGATTTTTTTTTTCATGCTTCTCAGTTCAAAACAGCTGTTAAGATGGGTTTCATGTAAGCAAGAACACTAGATAAGGTGAACTAAACTTTAGTATCAGCTCTGTCATTAACAATTTAACCAACACTAAGTAATTATACCTCTCTGACCCTGTTTCCTCATTTTCATAATTTTTTTATATCAGTAAAGGACTTCAAAATCTCCCCAACTTTAATATTCTATTAAAATTGATTTTGACAGAAGTCTTTTCTATCTTAAAGGGATATTGCAAAGATCTAACAAGAAAATACATGAGAAAATTTGTTGAACTGTAAAATAGTGCATGGTATTGCTAAAATATGCTGGAATAAACTTAATGTATCCAGATCTTCCCAGGATATTTCTTTAGAGATGTGCAATTAATAAGAAATAATATATCAATAAGGAGGGAAGAGTTTAAAGTCAAACATGGTCTAACATCAATCCAATTAGTTAAGAGCTGGTGAAGCCAGCAGTGCATGTTGGTTGTACCTTCATAGTTAATACAGCCATTGGAGTCTTCTTGACCTGCCATCAGGGCTTCCACTTCTTCCTCTTTCATCTTTTCACCTGATGAAATAAAACCCTTTTTTAAGACAGAAGGCCATAGGTCTTTTCAAAATTCTACTCTTATAAACTATAATAGAACTGCAGGGTTTTTTTTATTGTTGGTGGTGGCAGTGATCCTGGAGCTTGAACTAGCCTTGTGCTTGCTAGGCAGGAACTCTCCCACTTACATCACATCCTGGGCCCATGATTGAACTCTTGGGGGATAAAAACTGTTCATGTCCTATTTCCTTGGCACTTAGTAGGTGTTCAGTAAAGTATTTTTGAATGAATGAATGACATGTACATTATCCCTCATGATCCAAATTATATTTTAAGGAACTTCGATGCTTTACTTACTCATTGCTAATCTTTTAAGTCACTATTTCCCCAAAACTAACTCACTGTCACTGAAGCCATGAAAGTCATCGACTTTTGACTAGTCTGTTTTTTTAATCATTTTTAGTCTTTCTCCCCACCTATGTTGATGACGATATGATTCTCCTGTCATGACTGGTCCTGTACATTCTGTCTTAAGTCCACTGAGATGAATTCTCCTTACCCAGGGTGGCTAAAACATGACGGAGTTCAGCACCCATGACTGTGCCATTGCCTTCTTTGTCAAAGACACGCAGACCCTCAACAAAATCTTCATAGCTGCCCTGGTCTTTGTTGTTGGAAATAGCTTGCATCATGGGCAGAAATTGTTCAAACTCAATTTTCTTGGCGTTCATCTCTGGAAGAAATTATAGTTTGAAGTTAGCAGCTAGCAAGCATAAAATACCATCTCTGAGTCACAAAGTTCATTCCAGATGATCTTAAAGAAACAGACAATAGCATGAGCTCTGGAGTCCCAGGGCTGAGCTCTTTCTTTCCAACCTGTCATTTACAATAATGCAATAGTGGACAACTTTGTTAATTTCTTTGCACATCAAATTTTCATCTATTAAAGAGAAATACATCACAGTGTTATGGTGAGAATTAAATAATACATGTAATGATTATTAAAATTCTTGGGACAAATTACATGCTTAGTGTTACCTACTATTCTACTAGTATTTAATATATTTCATAAGTACTAGGGAAGCAATGTACTGATAGCTTACTACATCCCTATAAACAGATCATTATCTTACTATACCTTACGTATACATTCCATGCATGTCCTGAGTTTTTCTAGGGTCTTCAGTTTCATTAAACTTTAAGTAATTTTAAAAAGAATGCTTATGAGGAGAGTGTACATCAAATATTCTGGAATTTTTAAAATTCTTTGCAATTCAGAGGCCAAGAGATTGCAGGGGGGAGGACTTTCTCTAGAATCTGTGCAAGGTAAACTTCATCCACAAAGTATGACATAGACAATACAGATATATGCAAATGGATAAAATTATGTACCTACCAAAATAAAAATAAAACTTCCTGTTTTTCTCTCAAAGAAAGAAATCTGATACACTGAATAATATTAGAAAGACTGAATTTAAGTGCTGAATACATGAACATCTACCTAATAATTCTTTTAAAGGTAGATGTTGGTAAGTTAGACAAGGACATTTAAAAATAAGGCTTAGCTGATGGCCCTCTCACTTTATTTCATACTCTGCTACTTTCCACTTGATTTAACTGGAAATTTCTTCCAAAGAAAATGAGGAAAATTCCAGTGGACTTCCTTAGAAGTAAGTTTTCTTGAAGTCAAAGTTCTTTTTCATTTTTAATGAAGGAAAATCTCCAAAACATTCTCAGTTATCAAGGAGAAGCACAAGTTTATTCACCTTACCCTTCCTTTTTCCACTAATGGCAAAGATAAACAGTCCAAATATCTACTTAAAAACACTTCAGTTTTATGTTGTATCTTTTTTGTTTGGAGTCACCTTGCCATGAACCACTGAGATTAAAAATAATTTCCTTGTTCTAAACTAAGGATTAGGTTTCTGTATCAAGTGTTTTCTGCAATTTTGTCACTTACTGTCACTACTGATTTTTATTCCAACATTTACCTAGAGGCATTGAGTGCAGGTTTTGATTTAGGATTTTTAAATTTTTATAATTTATTGGAAATAGAAGGTACTCATTAAGATATCAATCTGTCTGCTCTTAAATAAGATAGCTGAGTTTCTTTTAAGATGGCCACAGAAGCAGTGTCAAAGGACAGTGTACAGGCCAAAGTCAGGACGTAGTTTTCTTTTTTTCTTGTTTTTAGTTTTTTATTAGGATATATTCATTGAACAGAGGAATTCATTGTGATAATTCCACATAGGCTTATATTGTACATTGGTTAGATGCCCCCACCAACTTTCTCCCTCAGGCCCCTCCCTTCTCCTCTTCAAGCCATTGCAAGAAGTTTCATTGTTCTCTTTCATATAGATATATGGTCAAAAAATCATATGTTCTCCCTCATATGTGGACATTAGATCAAGGGCAAACACAACAAGGGGATTGGACTTTGAGCACATGATAAAAGCGAGAGCACACAAGGGAGGGGTGAGGATAGGTAAGACACCTAAAAAATTAGCTAGCATTTGTTGCCCTTAATGCAGAGAAACTAAAGCAGATACCTTAAAAGCAACTGAGGCCAATAGGAGAAGGGGAACAGGTACTAGAGAAAAGGTTAGATCAAAAAGAATTAACCTAGAAGGTAACACACACGCACAGGAAATCAGTGTGAGTCAATGCCCTGTATAGCTATCCTTATCTCAACCAGCAAAACCCCTTGTTCCTTCCTATTATTGCATATACTCTCTCTGCAACAAAATTAGAGATAAGGGCAAAATAGTTTCTGCTGGGTATTGAGGGGGTGGGGGGGAGAGGGAGG